ATGGACAAAAACCAAAGTAATATTTCCCATAAGAAATAATGTAAATCCAATTAATCCATTCCAGACACCCAAAAATATTAAAAAAAAATACATTTTATAGAGAATAACTATAGCTCTAAATACAGAAAACAATGAGAAATATAAAGCACTAATTTTAATGGATAAATGAACATTTAAATCAGTTTTACCTTTATTGAAGACTCTTGTTGGCATATTCTTTACAAGATCTGCATGCAACTGCCTTGACTTTTCACAAATTATTGCCTCCACAACACTATCTCCCACTAACTGTTATTCATTGATCTACACCAACAACTTCTCAACATCTTCGATTGTTTGCCATCACTACCACCCTCTACCACCATCACTACCACCCTCTACCACAATCACTACCCCCCTCTACCACAATCACTACCACCCTCTACCACAATCACTACCACCCTCTACCACAATCACTACCACCCTCTACCACAATCACTACCACCCTCTACCACAATCACTGCCACCCTCTACCTTTGTAGAGGATGGTAGTAATATTTCTCCACAAAACTTTACAACTCATTCTACGAGTTCTTTCTTGAATTCTGTCGTGTTTCTCACCTTCTTTACCAAAGGGCTAGCACTCTGAACTTTCTTTGGCCCCATGGTGGCTTATTTCACAGTCGCAATCAATAAACAAGCACAACAAACAATGGATGAATGCGCAGAGTATTGCTAACTCAACGAGAGACAAAGGCAGACTGAGTCTGGTACACGTGAGAAGCAGCGTCCCGGGCAAGTGGACGCATCTGAAATGGATGATTTCCAAGAGGATGGATGAAACCTGGGGGAAAATTTCACCAAAAAAAGTGCTCATAATCCTAATTGTATGATTTCTGCACTGGACAAAAACCGGGGGTCCACTGTAGTTCATTATAAGTGTTACAAGAAGTATGGTCAAAAGAACTGCAGCAAACAAGCTCAAACCGCACATCTGATGCTTCTTTCTTTCAACACACCGGCCATATCCCACCAAGGCAGGGTGGCCCAAAAAGAAAAACGAAAGTTTCTCTTTTAAATTTAGTAATTTATACGGGAGAAGGGGTTACTAGCCCCTTGCTCCCAGCATTTTAGTCGCCTCTTACAACACGCATGGCTTACGGAGGAAGAATTCTGTTCCACTTCCCCATGGAGATAAGAGGAAATAAACAAGAACAAGAACTAGAAAGAAAATAGAAGAATACCCAGAGGGGTGTGTATATATATGCTTGTACATGTATGTGTAGTGTGACCTAAGTGCAAGTAGAAGTAGCAAGACATACCTGTAATTTTGCATGTTTATGAGACAGACAAAAGACACCAGCAATCCTACCATCATGTAAAACAATTACAGGTTTTCGTTGTACACTCACTTGGCAGGACGGTAGTACCCCCCTGGGCGGTTGCTGTTTACCAACCTACTACCTAGGACTCCTGATGCTATAAATACATATTACATATGTCTGGATGAAAGGCCATTATGCAATTGTTTTGCTTTTCAATTTACATAGCTTTGAACTCTGGGTTGGTGCCGTAGAACTACGTAATGAGCTCAGCTCACTCAAAGTTGTGAGTGGCAGATTACGTTTGGAAAAAAGTTTCCCCATTATTTCATGAGGATATTTTTTTTTTAATTTCTCAACCCTGAGAGGAATTCTCAGATCAGGGGATCCGATCCTAAAGGGGTTAAAGAATGAAAAATAATGCAAAAAATTAAATTCCTAAGTCAAGGAAATTTGTTTGAAATGTTTAATTTTCCAGATTAGTATGAAAATGGTTTAGTATGACATGATCCAAGTAGCAAAGGGGTAAAGTGTAACATATCTTCAACTATTTTTAAATAAATACTGTAAAAAAAAAATATACAAATATTTTCATTTACACATGTCCCTTTAAAGCTAGCATTAATTTGTAAATATATTTCATGTGTTTTCTCTCATTCTCTTATTTTGCAGATAATATAGGTAATACATATTTTAAGAAAAAGAGGATAAATAAGTATACAAGATATGATGTAGGGCGAAATGACAGTAGTTTGTTGGATTATGTATTGGTAGATAAAAGACTGTTGAGTAGACTTCAGGATGTACATGTTTATAGAGGGGCCACAGATATATCAGATCACTTTCTAGTTGTAGCTACACTGAGAGTAAAAGGTAGATGGGATACAAGGAGAATAGAAGCATCAGGGAAGAGAGAGGTGAAGGTTTATAAACTAAAAGAGGAGGCAGTTAGGGTAAGATATAAACAGCTATTGGAGGATAGATGGGCTAATGAGAGCATAGGCAATGGGGTCGAAGAGGTATGGGGTAGGTTTAAAAATGTAGTGTTAGAGTGTTCAGCAGAAGTTTGTGGTTACAGGAAAGTGGGTGCGGGAGGGAAGAGGAGCGAATGGTGGAATGATGATGTAAAGAGAGTAGTAAGGGAGAAAAAGTTAGCATATGAGAAGTTTTTACAAAGTAGAAGTGATGCAAGGAGGGAAGAGTATATGGAGAAAAAGAGAGAGGTTAAGAGAGTGGTGAAGCAATGTAAAAAGAGAGCAAATGAGAGAGTGGGTGAGATGTTATCAGCAAATTTTGTTGAAAATAAGAAAAAGTTTTGGAGTGAGATTAACAAGTTAAGAAAGCCTAGAGAACAAATGGATTTGTCAGTTAAAAATAGGAGAGGCAAGTTATTAAATGGAGAGTTAGAGGTATTGGGAAGATGGAGGGAATATTTTGAGGAATTGTTAAATGTTGATGAAGATAGGGAAGCTGTGATTTCGTGTATAGGACAAGGAGGAATAACATCTTGTAGGAGTGAGGAAGAGCCAGTTGTGAGTGTGGGGGAAGTTCGTGAGGCAGTAGGTAAAATGAAAGGGGGTAAGGCAGCCGGGATTGATGGGATAAAGATAGAAATGTTAAAAGCAGGTGGGGATATAGTTTTGGAGTGGTTGGTGCAATTATTTAATAAATGTATGGAAGAGTGTAAGGTACCTAGGGATTGGCAGAGAGCATGCATAGTTCCTTTGTATAAAGGCAAAGGGGATAACAGAGAGTGCAAAAATTATAGGGGGATAAGTCTGCTGAGTATACCTGGTAAAGTGTATGGTAGAGTCATTATTGAAAGAATTAAGAGTAAGACGGAGAATAGGATAGCAGATGAACAAGGAGGCTTTAGGAAAGATAGGGGGTGTGTGGACCAGGTGTTTACAGTGAAACATATAAGTGAACAGTATTTAGATAAGGCTAAAGAGGTCTTTGTGGCATTTATGGATTTGGAAAAGGCGTATGACAGGGTGGATAGGGGGGCAATGTGGCAGATGTTGCAAGTGTATGGTGTAGGAGGTAGGTTACTGAAAGCAGTGAAGAGTTTTTACGAGGATAGTGAGGCTCAAGTTAGAGTATGTAGGAAAGAGGGAAATTATTTCCCAGTAAAAGTAGGCCTTAGACAAGGATGTGTGATGTCACCATGGTTGTTTAATATATTTATAGATGGGGTTGTAAGAGAAGTAAATGTGAGGGTCTTGGCAAGAGGCGTGGAGTTAAAAGATAAAGAATCACACACAAAGTGGGAGTTGTCACAGCTGCTCTTTGCTGATGACACTGTGCTCTTGGGAGATTCTGAAGAGAAATTGCAGAGATTGGTGGATGAATTTGGTAGGGTGTGCAAAAGAAGAAAATTAAAGGGAATACAGGAAAGAGTAAGGTTATGAGGATAACAAAAAGATTAGGTGATGAAAGATTGAATATCAGATTGGAGGGAGAGAGTATGGAGGAGGTGAATGTATTCAGATATTTGGGAGTGGATGTGTCAGCGGATGGGTCTATGAAAGATGAGGTGAATCATAGAATTGATGAGGGGAAAAGAGTGAGTGGTGCACTTAGGAGTCTGTGGAGACAAAGAACTTTGTCCTTGGAGGCAAAGAGGGGAATGTATGAGAGTATAGTTTTACCAACGCTCTTATATGGGTGTGAAGCATGGGTGATGAATGTTGCAGTGAGAAGAAGGCTGGAGGCAGTGGAGATGTCATGTCTGAGGGCAATGTGTGGTGTGAATATAATGCAGAGAATTCGTAGTTTGGAAGTTAGGAGGAGGTGCGGGATTACCAAAACTGTTGTCCAGAGGGCTGAGGAAGGGCTGTTGAGGTGGTTCGGACATGTAGAGAGAATGGAGCGAAACAGAATGACTTCAAGAGTGTATCAGTTTGTAGTGGAAGGAAGGCGGGGTAGGGGTCGGCCTAGGAAAGGTTGGAGAGAGGGGGTAAAGGAGGTTTTGTGTGCGAGGGGCTTGGACCTCCAGCAGGCATGCGTGAGCGTGTTTGATAGGAGTGAATGGAGACAAATGGTTTTTAATACTTGACGTGCTGTTGGAGTGTGAGCAAAGTAACATTTATGAAGGGGTTCAGGGAAACCGGCAGGCCGGACTTGAGTCCTGGAGATGGGAAGTACAGTGCCTGCACTCTGAAGGAGGGGTGTTAATGTTGCAGTTTAAAAACTGTAGTGTAAAGCACCCTTCTGGCAAGACAGTGATGGAGTGAATGATGGTGAAAGTTTTTCTTTTTCGGGCCACCCTGCCTTGGTGGGAATCGGCCAGTGTGATAATATAATATAATATCCAAGAAAGAAATATAATAAGGAAGATTCTATAAGATGCATATCTTCAATAAAAACAAGAATTTCCTAAGGGAACAAGAAACTGAAATTCAACATCCATCACGGCAAGTAGATTAGCATGTCAACTAGGATTCCATTTAACCACCAGTTCAATACACAAACTTTGATTGTGAATTTTGGCAATGACACTATGAAATATAGATTACTATGCTTGGACTAAAGTGACACAAACACTTTATTTTAAAGTAAGAAACCATTTGCATTGAAAAATTACACAAGTAAAAAGAGAATTCTTTTTACCCGAGTTTCACTTGTCTGTTCAGGCAGTTTTTTGTTTTTCACAGCCTACTGTAATTACTACATAGATAAACCACATTCGCTACTCACCAGGGGAGGGCACAGATATCGTCTTCGTTGTTTTCTTCTTCGCTGCCGCTTCTATCTGGTTGACTATTGGTTGAGGATCAATACCTCCTCGGTCAAATTTGCACTCGTAAGCTAAAATATGTTTCATGTAATGCTTGCGTAGGGTATATGAACCACTTGATGATGCCCCAATGCCCATTACTGCTGCCACATCCTTCCACTGCTTGTTCTTCGTTACCTAAAAATTTATTGATGTATTGCAAATTAATACTATACAAACCATCTAATGGAATACACTTTGTGATTTGTTAGACAGGGCAAAATTTTAAACCAAACATAAAAGCTTTGTATTTTAATTTTCTCAATAATTAGTTTTTTTTTTTTTCACTTACTGCATTTTTCTGTTTCTATCCTACTTTCCCACTATATGCTTGCAATGGCAGTTCTTAAATGTTTGTACCTTTATTTCTTAATGTAAGAAAGTTGTAACTGTTTCAAACCAGGCCGGAATTCTTTTAACAAATTTTTCCAGTGTTCCTTAGTCTCTAATGCCTGAAGAGTCTGTATGAGAGTCTATATGAAAGAAAGAAGCAAGGGCATGGATGGACAGCTTTGTCTGAAGACTCAATGTATAAACTACAACATATTTTTTTTTAAACATTTGAAGTGGGAAGTACAGTGCCTGTACTCTGAGGGAAGGGTAGGGATGTTATAGTTTGGAGGGGCATCTGAACTGTGATGTTTAGCTATACAGTGGTACTCCAATATTCGAACTTAATCTGTTCCAGGAGCTGGTTGAATAATGAGTTGTATGAATACTGAATCAATTTTTCCCATAAGACATAATGTAAATTGGATTAATCCGTTCAAGATCTCAATAACTTACCAATTATAAAACGTTTTAGGTGAAAATATTACTTATTTAAACTTTTTTTTTTTTAACAAGTCAGCCGTCTCCCACCGAGGCAGGGTGACCCAAAAAGAAAGAAAATCCCCAAAAAGAAAATACTTTCATCATCATTTAATACTTTCACCTCACTCACACATAATCACTGTTTTTTGCAGAGGTGCTCAGAACACAACAGTTTAGAAGCATATACCTATAAAGATACACAACATATCCCTCCAAACTGCTAATATCCCAAACCCCTCCTTTAGAGTGCAGGCATTGTACTTCCCATTTCCAGGACTCAAGTCCAGCTATTAAAAATAACCAGTTTCCCTGAATCCCTTCACTAAATATTACCCTGCTCACACTCCAACAGATCGTCAGGTCCCAAATACCATCCGTCTCCAATCACTCCCATCGAACACGCTCATGCACGCCTGCTGGAAGTCCAAGCCCCTCGCCCACAAAACCTCCTTTACCCCTTCCTTCCAACCATTTCGAGGATGACCCCTACCCCGCCTTCCTTTCCCTACAGATTTATACGCTCTCCATGTCATTCTACTTTGATCCATTCTCTCTAAATGACCAAACCACCTCAACAACCCCTCTTCAGCCCTCTGACTAATACTTTTATTGCTCCAAACCTTCTCCTAATTTCCACACTCTGAATTTTCTGTATAATATTTACACCACACATTGCCCTTAGACAGGACATCTCCACTGCCTCCAACCGCCTCCTCGCTGCTGCATTCACAACCCAAGCTACACACCCATCTAAGAGTGTTGGTACTACTATACTTTCATACATTCCCTTCTTTGCCTCCATAGATAACGTTTTTTGTCTCCACATATACCTCAACGCACCACTCACCTTTTTTCCCTCATCAATTCTATGATTAACCTCATCCTTCATAAATCCATCCGCCGACATGTCAACTCCCAAGTATTCGAAAACATTCACTTCTTCCATACTCCTCCTCCCCAATTTATTATCCAATTTTTCTTTATCTAAATCATTTGATACCATCATCACCTTACTCTTTTCTATGTTCACTTTCATCTTTCAACCTTTACACACACTCCCAAACTCATCAACTAACCTTTGTATAATAATATTTGCATGAATTAAATCATACATGAAAACTATAAAAACAATAAATACATGAAATAAATGAACAATTAGCTGCACTTTACCTTTACTGAGGAGTGCTGATGGCCTAAGAAGAAGGTGGAGAGATGTTATTGTTTGGAAAGGGTGTCACCTTCCATAAAAAACATCAGGTAACTGCCCATCTGGTATTTCTTCCACTTGTCTGTTTCTTTGCAGTAGCACTTAAAGATGACAGGGATTCACTAGCATTTGATTTATTGTCTTTGCTAAAGAAGCTGTTCAATGTTGTCTGCTGCTGATGATTTTTCAAATTTTTTCAAAAGCGGTCAACATTATCAGTGAACAGGTTGATGTTTGTATTCACAAAAGTAATGTTAGGATGCCATTTTTTCCACCAGGCTCTGAGTTTGAGCACAATGGTAACACAGTTCCTTAATTTCTGCAGTGGAAATGTTGCCCTTACTGCTTCCCTCCTCTGAAGAAGAAATTTCCTCAACCACTTCTTGCTGCTGCTTGTGCAGGTCTTGAAGTTCTTCTGTGATGAATTCATTTCTTGTGATCCTCCAAGAACTCCTTTACATCATTCTCATCCATTTTCAAACCCATGGACTGGTCCAGAGAAAAATTATCCTTCACTCACTCAAAGCCTTCAAAATCTCTGACTGACACAAACAGTCTGACCACAATTTCTTCCCACCAGAGTTCACTGTCCTGAAAAAAAACTGTTCCCCAGGCTTTGTCTATTACCCTTAAACACTGGAGGATATTAAAATGGTTTTTCCAAAATTCCCTAAGGGTAAGCTCTGTTTCAGAGGTCACTTCAAAGCACCTTTTAAATAGTGCTTTTGTTTAAAGTTTCTTAAAATGGGAAATTACCTGCTGGTCCGTGGGTTGGATAAGAGGAGTGGTGTTAGGGGGCAAGAACTTCACCTTAATGAAGCTGTATTCATCCACTAAATTTTCCTCCAAGAATGGAAGGTGAACAAGAGCACTGTCCATTACCAGAAATGCCCTTAATGTTAAGTTTTTTTCCACAAAGTACTGCTTCACCATTATCCCTCCACATTACAATGAGTTTAATTTTTATCACATTGTTTTTCTTAAACACCTTTGGATTTTTAGAGTGGTAGACTTGGAATGGTTAAATTTTGCAGTCCCCACTAGCATTACCACACAAGAATGTTAGCCTGTTTTTCATGGGCTTGTGCCCTGGTAATGATTCTTCTTGTGTGATGTAGGTTCTCTTAGACATTCTTTTCCAAAAGAGGCTGGTTTCATCACAATTAAAAACTTGTTGAGGAATAAATCCATCAATGTCTACATAAGTTTTAAATCCCTTAACAAACTTTTCAGCCTCATCTCTGTTAGCACTGGCAGCCTCCCCATACTACACTATGAAACCCACTCCGCCTTGTAAACCTATCAAACCAGCCCCTATTTGCCTTAAATTCATCACTTTCACCACTGTTTCCTGGGGTGTCTCAACTAAGATCACTATATAACTGCTTTCCTTTTTCACAAATTGTTGTTTTAGAAACACATTCACCAGCCAACTGTTTTTCATTAATTCACAATAACAAAAAGTTTTTCCATTTTTTAATTAACTGTGACCTTTTCACAGCAAGAATTTTCACTTCTTTCACCACATCAGCCCCTTTTATTGCCTCTTTATTTTTCAACATGGATGATGTGGTGGATTTGGCCATATCATACTGAGTGACCAGGTCCAATACATGTTCCACTTTTCCACTTCGCAATGAGTTCTTTTTTCACTTTAATTTTTGTTTTCATTGTTTTGCTTTTAGGCTTGTTTGGAGCACTACTCTTTTTTGGGGACATTATTACTTATTTTCAATGAAAATATTTAAAAAACACCACAGAATAACAACGAAACCACCGAGTTTCATGGAACTTGTAAGAACAATGCTTAACAAATGAAAGCCGGCGAGACAGGGCAACATTCAAATACTGAGTCAAATTTATCTTGTAAAAGTTGAGCAAATATTGATTTGAACGAATACAGGGACATACGAATACTGAGGCTCCACTGTAATCTAAATCTATCTCTTAAAATTTACAGCAAATGAAGCTAATGCTCAATTTTTAACACATTGGTCATTTCCTACCAAGGAAAGACAACCCAAAAGACAGTTTTCATCTTATGAACTTATTTCCTTTTAATTCCTTAAAATAACTACTTTAAAAATAATTAATTACGTATTAATCCAAATGGTCTGTTGTAATGCAACTGATATATTTCTTGCAATGTTTGCCCAAATTCATGACAAACAACAGATTTTTAAAAAAATGCTTGAATAATTTTAAAGATATGTAAACATAGCCTAATAACAGAAAATCAAAAGATTCTGATTTCACTACCACATTCCTACTTGCCTATTTGCACGACTCACATGCAAATAGCCAAGAAAATGAAATTATTAAGAAGTCTCACTAATTTTTAACCATGTACTAAACCATCAATATTGAACAACTACCAGACAGCTGGAAAACTTCAAACATGGTCCAAATACATCTTAAAATTAGAATTAATCAAATATATGAATTACAGTACCTGTCTTGTTAAATCTCTAATATGGAGAAATGGCCATTAAAATCTACAACAAACATTAAAATCATTAATGGCCACTTATTAATCCTAAAGACTTTTAAATTCACTGAAGAATTTCACAAGCTCAGATGACTATTACACACTAATGAAGATCCAGTACTGATATTAAAAAATATACAGATCAATATTACCTCAACAAATTGAAAAAAACAAAACAGCCAAATAAGGAAGAAAAATCTAAATGCAGGAATGATTTGTGATATTAGTATTCTCAGGAAAAGAGAAATGTGGAGGTGTTGCAGTTCAGAGGGTGATCTGGACTATGATATCAGCACACTTCTGGCAAGACAAATTGAATGAATAATCACTAATGCCTTTCTTCTTTTGTGCCATCCTACTCTGGTGGGAGATGGCCAAAGATGTAAAAAAAAAAATTATTAGCAAAATTTCTAATGAACCTGCATAAATGATTAACTACTCTTCCATTGCTATCACTTTGATACAAAAAATTATATTACTAATGATAAAATAACCTATGAATTAAATTATTATAAGTGGTATTCAAAATATGAATACAAATAATAAACTGTCCTTCCTAGTTGCTTTTCCAGGATGCTGATAGGACAGTCTAATGACAACCAACGTAACATTAACACTCCGCTAAATTTATAAGTGTAAACACTGTACCTCCAACCACCAGAACTCAAATTTAGCTTCTCAAGTTCCCCAAATCCTTCATTAAATATTATTAAACTCACATTCCAACAACACATCAAATCCCAGAGACAACTTTGATCCACTTGTTATGAACAGCATATTCACATGTGCCTATTGGATGTTAAAGTCCTGCATTACTCATTACTTAATGTATACTTTCTTATAAACCTTATTCTGTTGTCTTTTACACCTTCCATCCACACTTCAGACTTGTACACCCTTTTAAATTAACCTAGCTCGTTCTATTTTTCATACATAACTACACTCAACTTGAAAAAAGCATTTTCTTCTCTATGAATTACCCTTGTCTTACCACCACACTTTCTCTCAGTTTAATGAGTTCTTATTTCCTTTATAATATTTACTTGTCAGTGGATGGGTTTATGAAGGATGAGGTGACCATAGAATTGATGAAGGAAAAAGGGTGAGTGGTGCATTGAGGTATCTGTGGAGACAAAAACCATTATCTATGGAGGCAAAGAAGGAATGGATGAAAGTATAGTGGTACCAACACACTCATATGGGTGTGAAGCTTGGGTTGTAAATGCTGCAGCGAGGAGGCATTTGGAGGCAGTGGAGATGTCCTGTCTAAGGGAAATGTGTGGTGCAAATATTATGCAGAGGATTCGGAGTGTGCAAATTAGGAGGAGGTGTGGGTTGCTAAAAGTATTAGTCAGAGGGCTGAAGAGGGGTTGTTGAGGTGGTTTGGTCATTTAGAGAGAATGGATCAAAGTAGAATGACTTGGAGAGCATACGAATCTGTAGGGAAAGGAGGTAGGGGTAGGGCTCGTCCTCGATAAGGTTGGAGGGGGTAAAGGAGATTTTGTGGACGAGGGCTTGGATTTCCAGCAAGCCTGTGTGAGCATGTTAGATAGGAGTGAATGGAGACAAATGGTTTTTGGGACCTGACAAGCTGTTGTAGTGTGAGCAGGGTAATATTTAGTGAAGGGATTTAGAAAATTCTCTGGTTAGCTAGACTTAGAGTCCTGGAAATGGGAAGTACAATGCCTGCACCTTAAAGGAGGGGTCTGGAATATTGACAGATTGGAGGGACTTCTAAACTGTCATATCTGAGTGCCTCTGCAAAGACAGTAATTATGTATGAGTGAGGTGAAAGTGTTGAATGATGATGAAAGTATTTTCCTTTTGGAGATCTTCTTTCTTTTTGGGTCACCCTGCCTCGGTGGGAGACGGCCGACTTATTGAAAAAAGAAAAAGAAAACAAAACACTGATCTCACACATGACAGTAACTCCAGGCTCCTCCTTACTGACCATGCTTCACATTTATACAAAGGCATTGACATCACTATATTTTGAAACCTTCTTCATTTTTTTTCCATCCACTGGCAAGATTCAGTTATTCCATAATTTTTTTAAAACTGCTACTTTCTTTTCCTCATCTATTTTATGCCAAGCCTTATACTTTATGAACCCAACTCATTTTACATATACAATACACTCACTTTCCAATCTAACCTCTAATCTATCAATCCATATACTTTTACATATTCTCCTCATCTTACTCGAGCAGATGAATGACCGAGTTATCACTTTTTGCTATGAATGGCCCACAAAAATTTATCACTATCTGGAACACAATACTAATCTGGATGAGCGAGATAAATATACAACATTTAGCAATCTTTTTGCAATAAAGATACTTATATGTTGTACATGTCTTATTCATTTACTTATCAATGTTTTAAACTGTTAATATAATGATGCAATACTAATCTCTACAGCTCTTCCATTTCACCTGCAACCAGCCATTGTAACAACTCTCCCTTTATCTATAATTCATTATCCCTTCATACTGCACTTCTCCCAAATACACTATCATTCACTTTCCTTATAACCTAATCTATAAACCATTAGACAACCACTAACATTATTTCCAAGCTTAGTTTTTCATAAAATCAACGTACCTCCACAAATCCTCCACGTTCCCGTACATGGAGATAAAGAGCGTAGAGATCAAGAGGATTCTTACTGATGGTAGGACAAGCAGTAATTGGAGTCTTATTATCATCCATAAATGTCAACAGCTTGTCCAACCAAGCCCGCCGCTCCGGAGAGTCCGACATCTCATAGAGACGTGCCAGATTTTCTCCCGGCTGGAAAGGGAAGATTTAATAATTGCAGTGAGACATACGAATTTAATATGGCTTATAAAGGGAAGCTAAGTCATAGTCTCCCGTAGTAGCAAATCATTGCAAATAAAAGAGCAAAGCAGGTGAACCCATTCTCTGACTGTGAATTCCTTACTCAAAAATTATTCATATACTGCAAGTTTTGAAGGCTCATACCTGAGTTAATATAAAGATTGAGGTGGATGAATGATGAATGTGTAATTATATAATAAAGCAATCAAGTATATGTCTTAGTAATTTTGATAAAAAAAGATGAATGATAATTTTAAAATTAACAATCAGAAGCTAATGTTCTGGGCAAACACAAGTGGAATTATATATATTATAGAATTAATTCCAAATTATAAACAGGGTATGAACTGAAAAGAATATGTAGCGACCTCCAGAGGACATATTCCTCTCATTAGAAGAGAATACCGAGACTGTTCTACAGGACTAATTTTGAAACTAGGCTGAAAGGGAAGGCATTATGTGAGCATCACTACAACTGGTTAGCACATCTCAAAGCATGGCATAGAGGATTTCTAAAATGTAGACCAGAGAGCTTAATGTTACCTCATACAGTCATGCCTCCTAAAGGTTTAGAGATACAGTCACCTTTGAAGAAAACACTATATAAGGATATATAGCAAATCTGGTCACATTTGAACTTTCTTGGGATTCAAACAAGTTTATAAAACTATTTTATAATACTCAAAGATTATGTTACACTAATGGCAAAGTATCATTAGAATTCACATGGATGCATGTAACTAAAATATTTAATGCAACTTGAAACTTGGCTTTTTCTATAATTCCACAGCATCTGAGGTCATATGGATGCAAAATGTAATATATCTAAATTAGATGCATTAAAAGTGAGGCTTATGTTAAACTAATGAGAATAATGACACTGTCAAACTTCCTTCATAATTCATACAAATGAAAGAGGACTTGCTGAACCAAAGTAAAATCATTCCTACAAGGCTTAAATGATCAAAAGTTCTCTCGTGTAGCACCAAATATGTACCACTCGACTTAAAGCTGCAATGAATCCAATATGATATTTGATGGGCATTCAAGTTAAAATTGAGGTCTAAGCAAGAATGTTAAACTAAAAAGCCTACGCATCACATTTAGGTATGAAGTACATCAGGCTAAGCATACATAATAGCAAGGACCAACAGAAGACTACTATCTCTGAGAATCACAACAAGATGCAGTGTTTCCCAGAGAAAAGGTATCTCTGTGTCATTATTCAATCTGAACTGATCCTTATAGTCTCTATCAATCCCAGATATTAGGTACTAATTTATGCTGCCAAATTAAACAGTTTTCTAAACATACAGCACCATGGTCAATCACAAATACCCACAAAATGTGGGAAGACTTAATACACAAGCATGGTGCCTTATGCAAACAAAACATTTAAACTTAGCAACAATGTCACAGCTTCATCTACAAAGCTACCAGTGCCGCAAGATAAATCAGAACAGCCAGCAAAGTTCTGGGATGTTCACAGCGACAGGCTACCAGTAACTAGCTACTGCTGTGACGAGCTCTATTCCAGCAAGACTACTGCTAGTGCCATGCTATCCATGCTTCCTACTAGGGCAAATTGTTAAGCTTAATCAAGCAAGTCATATGCCAGGGACTCAATCTGGCTTTGCCTCTGCCCCCCACTAGTCTAGAAGATTTGTTCAAGTT